GTATGAAAAGTGAATTTACTCTGTAAATCTTCACCTAAATCCTAATAAAAAAAAAAAAAAAATCCCTGGATCATAAAATTATCAAAACATATTGTTTAATTACCTAAAGATGTCTGAATTTGTTCACATACCTGATAACTATAATACCTTAAAGTACCTTAGGATAATGTATATTATTTTAAAAACAAAGATATACAAATCCATTAAGAAATGGCTCTGTATTTCCTTAAGGATTTCTTCACAGTATAAGCTTTCATAACAATGTTTAGTGAGAAACAAAGGTATTTAATGTGGCTGTGTCAGGCATAGGAATTAAGATTTGAGTCACTTTTTGCATTCTTTTGAACAAGTAACTATGATTAAAAAAATATTACAGGTTTACTCACTTCTTTATGCCCACATTCCCTTCTTACATACAACTAGACATTGGTTACACAAACAACGATCATAAGAGGATAAAATAAATGTGAGGAAGACTAAAAAATAAAAACACGATTAAGAAATAAATACAAGGCTTTAGATTAGTTCATGGAAAAGAAAACCACCTGGTCCTACCTAGTTTCGAGAGCTGGGATCCTATGATATAAAACATTGAGAGAAATTGGATGTGTCTCAAGGGTTCACAGTAACCAAAAGAGAAAAACAAACCATCACACAACTATTCCTAACACCTGTTTCAATCATTTCTGAAAATGCAGTCAGTGAATGCAATCACATTTTCTATCAACTTTGGTTAATGGTTTACAAGATGCAAAATTAATGAATATCAAATATCACCCAAAGGACAGACAAGAGACCCATAAACTGGAGGGCCTGAATTATAAACAATTTGTTATTGCTCTATTTAGGTTTTAGTTTGGGAGGTAACTTCAATAGCTTTGAAACAAAACAAAGGAAAATCCCTACTCAACCAAAGACTTAAAACTAACAATCACTTAAGGAGAATTCTGCCATAAATTTATAAATACTGTAGAAGTAAAATAAGGCCCAAAGAAATCAAACAGTACTACAAAAGATACTGTATGAGACAGAATAAACATTCACCTCTACCCACTGAGGACTGGGCAATAATAAATGACTTTAAATTAAAACAGGAGGGATTTAAATCACATATTAAAACAATTCTAGGAATGCATAGATTATCAGTATTAAATTATGTCTGTAGAAGCTTTTTCTCTGAAATAATGAAAAAAAGGATATAGAAGGGTTTTTCTTAAATGTTTGAAATATATAAGATCCTGCCTTGGAAGGAGGATTAAAATTACCTATCCTGGTTCCTTTAAGCATTCAGCAAAAATCACAGCTTAATATAACAAATCACACAATCATCACATTAACTTCTTAGTCAACCAATGAGTTTTAAAATAATGTAGGACAATTTATATAGTAAAACAACATAGATTATTTTAGAATATAAAAGCTTGTCCCATATACAAAATTGTGATTTTATCAGATTTTACACAAAACTGAATTTAACTGAAACTGGCAAAGTCACATGAGCAACATTTAGAATGTTATAACAATCCTTCTTCACTTACCTGGTCTTTCTCATGGGGTAGAAGGCTGACAGGTGGGAGTGAGGATGGGAAAGCACTGGGATACTTGGGAGCCCCTTTGCCATCTAAGCTACCATAATTGACGCTGTACTGTGGACCGTCTTTCAGTAACCTCCCATTGTTCACAGCACGTTTGGCCCCTAGTCGCAGTCGCTGCTGAAAGGCTGGGTTGTTGGTGGTGCTTGTGAGATCGCTTTGATTTCTGAGATACTTCTCTATGTTCTTCAGGGAGGAGCCATTTGGTTCCTCAAGTCCTTCAATTGCTCTCTTTAAAAGCTTATTCCAATCCACATTACGGAGATCATTACATGATCCTCTAGACCCCTTGGTTGACTTAGGAAAAGTGCCTGGTTTAACTGATGAGAAGCGCCCAGGATTATCTGGGTCCTTGTAAGAAGCAAGGCCTTTGTTGGTGACTTTGAGAACGGAGCCATCCTGAACACTGAGTTCCAGCTGTTCAGAGACTGTCTTCTTATCCAACCCATGGGAAGTGCTGACTGCATGGCAGATTCGCTCTTCAGAGGGCCTTTGCTTTTGCTTTTTTATTTTCTGTATAGCTTCAAGAATCCACTCTGTATAAAGTGGGTTTGCAAGTTTTACCATGGTTGACAAATGACTTCTTCGATACAAAAGTTACCCATAGAGATTCTCCTTGTATTTAACAGAAGTTGCGCATTTAAAAGTCATTTACAATTCAATAAATGGACAGAGTATTCCAGACCACATTAAGCAACATCTTATAAACATCCATCCTTAAGAGATTAAAAAGGGGACAAACAGGCAATGTTGATAGTTGATAGTCTTCTATTTTACCAACAGGAAAGACTGCATTCGGGCGAAGAACATCTTTAACTAGGAAGTCAAGACCTTAAAGGGTAAAAAGGGAGGGGAAAGGTTCTTAATGGAATTTTTTTAAATAAATTAAAAGATTCCTCAGTATTACTTTTTCAATTCTATCCAGAAAAAAATTCCCCTTGAAATGACTACAGAAGCAATGACAAGGAGGTATTGTGTATCAAGGCCTTAGTGACTATTTTCCAGCCAGAAACTGGGTCACAGTCTGAGAAGGAATTATATTTTCAGGATTTCTCATTTGTTATTATATGAAGTGACTCATGGGCATTTAAGAATCACATTTAAGTTATATATTTAAAGAATCAGCAATTTTTTAAATAAACAAACTTACATGAAAGCGAGTTTAAGAAATCCACTGCGAACATGTAAAATCAACATCAATAATTCTATGGCACAAAAATTCCGGTGGAAATACATTAAATTTTCTTCAAGAAATCTTAAACCTCAGAAAGAAAAGAGCAATAATCCCCATTCTTCTATTTCAGCTAAGTACTGCATTTCCTAAGTTTTACACATAAGAAAATTTCCCATCTAGTCACCTCTATGGAATCATATTCGTCCATCCCTTTGCAAAGGGTTTATGACACCCCATAAGGCACTGGTTGGAAAATTGAAATTAATATACTAACATAACCCTTCACCTTTAATAATGTAGCTTTCTAGGTATCTTAATACCCAGTTAGCTAATGAAATTGTAGCACATAAAGCAGCACAAATCTGATTCCAAATAGACAGACAAAATGTTCTAACAGCCTCCTGATGTACACAAAAACCATGACAGAGCCCCAATCTAGCCCTGAGTACATCTGCAAAGATCACCAGGACAAAGTACCCTGACCTGGGAGTCAGGCCAGACCTGAGCTCTAATCTAGCTCTCCACTAATAATATCCACATCTTAACTCTTTTTATGGTTTAAAGTTTACAGAGTATGTTCATAGGCACCTTGTCATTTAACGTGCAAGATAACTCTGAGTTAACTCAGGCTCAGGGAAAGATATAGCTCACCCAAAGTAATAGTCAGTAGCAGACTCAACACTCAAATGCTATTATTCTAAATCCAAGTCCAGCAGTCTTCTTTCCTGAACTAGCCTGCTTTAACTAGTTCTGCCTCTGCAGTCAGACCAAAGTGGGTTTGAATTCCAGCTCTGCCAATGACTAGTGGCGAAATCCTAAGTAAGTGACTTAAGTTTCAGTCACTTTACCTATAGACAATAACAGTAAAGCCCTCATAGGATTGTTAACAGAATAAAGTGAACACCAAACCCAAAACTAAAACCGTTACCAATGAGTCAGATCCAACTCAAAGTGACCCTCTAGGCAAGAATAGAACTCCCCTATAGGATTTCCAAGGCTGCAAATCTTTACAGAAGAGACTGCCACATCTTTCTTTCTCCCGTGGAGCAGCTGGTAGGTTCGAACTGCCAACCTTTTGGTTAGCAGCCAAATGTACTACTGCACCAGCAGAGCTCCTTCTTAAGTGAACACAGTATGTAATAAACAATATATAGTTGGTATCATCCTTTCCATCAAATGCAATGTCTACACACTTTGGAAGGTGTCTCAAAATACAAAATCAAAGTAATCTCTGATTATTTATTTAGACAGAATGTACCTGGAAGGGGAAATAATATCTGTCCTCAAAACTGCAGCCAAATATACTGAATAAAATTAAATTTGCTCTCAAAGATAATGGAATGGGAAAAAAAAAAGTACCAACCATATTGGAGTGTCGCTAAAAGAGAATTGGGCCACTGGACCATACTTTTCATTCAGCTTGAAAGAGGTAATTTTAAAAAGACTGTCCTCTTTGGTATCAGTAAACTTCACATTCACTCCATTTTCCTCCCTGAGATTGAGAAACTTGAGGCTGAAGGGGACCTCAGAGGTCATCCAGTCCCACTTCTAGTTACCCAGTAAAACATCCCTTGTTCAATATCCCCAATAATGGACTATCATTTCTCTACTTAAACTTCCAATGATTGAGAGCTTGTCACTTTGTGAAGCAGTTCACTCCACTGTTGAACAGCACAATATGTCTTACTCACGACCCAAAATCTGCCTCCCTGTAACGTCTACCCACTAGTTTTAATTCCCTTGGAATATCCTAAGTAATTCTTACTATTCTGTCAATATTAGAGGCCTTCAAATATTTGAAAACAAGCATCTTTGAAAAACCACTAACAACCACACCCCACTCTACCTCCAGCTATACTTTAAATCACTCATATCCAACCCCTTTAACTCTTTCACATATTACATGGTTGCTGAGTACCACCTTCTCTTGGTTGCTCACCAGTATGGCTAATGCCCATCTTAAAATCTGGCAGTCAAGGCATAAGCCAATTATAAACGCAACCCAAGGTTACATGAACTTTCTTAACAGCTCATGTCACAACTGGCTCATGCTGAGCACACAGTCAACAAAAATCCCAGAATTTTTTTCGGAAATGCTGTCAAGCTGAGTCTTTCTATCCCCTTCTTTGCGTAAATCTAAATGCTTGGATTTTAAATTCATTATAGTTCAATTTCATCTTGTTGATTTTTGTCTATCTTCCAACCTGTTAAAAGACAGTTTGAATCTTGATTCTGTCATCTATGTCATCTGCAAATCTAATAAGCACTCCCGTTTGTGTCATTATATAAATTATTGACAAAAATGTTAAGACTTGGAACACAGTGTGTTTAGGAATGAACTCACTGGCTTTCACAGTGCAACCACTTTCAGGACAGAACACAGGAATCATTCTTGTGTTAGTAAGTTTAGAACAGGAAATTGATCTTTCCAAAGTGAAATGGTTTGGGGCAAAATTTCATTAGAAGACATTTCACTGTGTCCAAGTAATTATTTCATCTTTCATCATTTATTCAGGATGAATCACAACTAATTTAATTTGATTGCACAAAATACAACTGCAGGAAGCAAGAAAAGAGGTCAGAGAAAAGTATCCAATACTACAAAGTTCCTTTCAGAAATTTTGGTTACACAAGCAAATGAACGTATATTAAAACAAAGTACATTTAATAACTGATAAATACCCAAAATAAAGCTTCGTGACAACTTTTTCCCACAATCCTTACCCACAATCAAAATAACAGTTCATATTCACTACCAATACATTTCAGCAAGATACTTTATATCTTAAAAATAAAAAAAGATAAATACCAGAATTGAAACTCCAAATGTTTTAACAGTCCATGATAAAACTGAAGATTGTCCAGGTCTTCAGGTAAATCTGCCCAAAGAAGAAAAGTAAATGTTAAATTTGGGCATCAGGACACCCGTTAAACACAGCAACCATCTTTGGATCTCCACAACTACTCAATATAAATAGCTGCAATGAGTTTATTACTACACTGCACATTTGGTGATATAGTACTCAGACCACTAAAGGGTATTTATGAACACAGAATTCAGGGCAGGAAATATAAGACCCAAAGGAAAAGTGGCTGAAGAAGTAAATTTCTCTCTTCTCTAATAACAGACATTTCCACAATTTTTTAAAAATCAGGTTTGTGAGAGTCCTAAGAAAGAATTCCATTTAAAAAAAAAAAAAAAAAAATCCCACTATTTCACAAATATCCAGGCAGGTATAATACTTTATCCACAAGAAAGAATCAAGAGTTGTTTTAAAGTCAGCACTACCTTTCCTAAGTGGTAATCACAATTCATCCCAAAGGTCCCTTGGCATCTAAGTAATGATTGGACTATCAGATACAGTCAATTACTTCACTTAGAAGAACGGTTTCTACCAGTTTCTACCATAGTAACTGTGTGTTTACTCAGGTAACATTTTAGGACAGTAGTGATCATTTTTACTTCAAAGGCAACAAATAAATTTAAAACCATCAACTGTGAATAAATCCATTTTGATCTTAAACAAAACAACTAAGCAACCTTATAGGCCCTACCTCTCCCTTCCCCCAACCACAGACACACACCCCACTCCTCAATTTAATCTCAAAATTAGCTCTCATCTGACACCAACCAACAGAGTTAATTAGGCAGAAGCAGATGTAACTCAGCAGCTATTTGCAACAAGCAGAATCACAGTGTGTTTAAAAAAAAAAAAAAATACACAGCTAAGAAAGAAACAAAATCAGAAGTCTCTTATCTGTAGCCAATTCTCAACTAAACACATGTATATTATCCACTTTGTACATTATCCACTGCAAATTTTTTAATCTTAGGCTAGTTTGTTTCTGACATCTCACCGGCCCCAATGTAAATTTGTATAACTAATAGATTGAAAACAAATTCAATTTTAATCTAAGCAGTATCTAACTAGAAAGACAAATCTACAGGAAAGAAATGCATAATTCATCGAAAAGCCAAATAGAAATGCTTCTCCCCCCCACCAGGCATCCCCTCCCTTTTTTACAGCACTGGGATCTGTTTCATATGTAGATAGCCATACAATCACAAATTAAAACCCTAAAATAGTTCATTTCTTTTTTATTTTTTTGTATAAAAACTTGAATGTTGGACCAAAAGGCTATTAAAAAGAAAAATCATTCTGAATTAATTCAGGGACTCATGCTAAATCATGCTATTTTCTAATGTTTTGAATCATTTTATTTTTAAACTACAAAATAATATTAGTAAATTACATGGTTGTTTCATACAGTCTTATAATAAAACACTATTTACATCTTTCATTACAAAGTATTCTAAACAGATCTAGAGAAATGCTTAGTCCAACACAGAGCTTTAAGCTTCATTACTATTATATAAATATGAACACTATTCAGAAACATTCATGCCAGCATTAGAGGAGTCAAAATATCCTGGATCATAAATATCATGTGAAGCTTCCTCCAAGCTTTTACTAAAGCTATGTGCTGTTTCAAAATCAATGTCGAACACTGAAGTCATGAGATTATGGATGAGCCAAAAACAGTGGTGGCTATTGTTACCTGCTGTCAAGTCTGACCCAACTCAGAGAGGCAGTATCACAGTTGTTCATGTTATGTGCTGTGGAGTCGGACCTGACTCATAGCGACCCTTCCTTGGGTTTCTGAGACAGTATTACTACGGAAGTAGATTGCCCAACCTTCCTTCCGAGGAGTGGCTGGTGGGTTTGAACCGCCAGCCTTCTAGTTCGCCGTCAAGTGCCTTAGGCACTATGCTACCAGAGCTCCTGAATTTATCAGTAAATGAAAAGAATCTAGGAAAAGGCATAGAAGGTAAGAACGAGCAAACAAATGAGACAGTGAGTCCACATGCCTGCCTCAACCAGGTATGTACTGAAAAAGAATACAAAATAAAGTTGGATATGGCAAAAACCAGGCTGAGGAGTGTTAACATGACAGATAAAGTAACAGGAACCACTGCAGGAATAGGTGACACAATGGAAGTGTGTAATGGATAATGGAGTGCAAATACACACACATAGCTTTGTTGAATGTCTGAATCACTCTGGCAATAGTTATCTAATCAGTATGGGTTGGAGCGGTAATTGAGGGAATAAACAGAAGCAACCAGACTTTCATCTCTCCACAGCTCAATCTTGTTTAACATATATTTATGAGTCTACCTCAGGAGCAAGAGTAGGCACTCAGTGAAATGTTAGTTGAATTGAATATTTAATTCCTCATCTTTTTAGAATAATACTAAGTTCTTTCCCACTGCTGATTATTATAGAGTTTTCAATTCATAAGCTAATAATGTTTTCCAAGGATTTCTAAGAGGCTAAATCACCATGAAAATTATCATTTCAACTAATACATACTATATTAATTGGAAGTTTAATTTTTCATGTCATGCTCTCCTAGTTGACAATATCTTTGTTATGTCATTAAACTATAATTGTGTAAATCTGCCTCAACAAACAATAATGGAACCATCAATAAACTATTATGGCTTCCATAATCCCTCGCAAGGATTAGTTTCAACATCATCATCATAAATTAGTACTGGCATGTCCCAAATCTCCTGGTGAAAACCATGAATTAGGTTTGCATAGTCATCCTAGCATTTAAGTGCTTGACAGTTTCAGTCTCTAAAATTTAATCACACTGTTAGGAACCTCACAGGAAATTTGATCCCTTGTAAAACAGAGGATTTTAGAGATAAGATGAAAAGTCATTTGAAGTCATGAGGCCTTTGGAGCCAGGGCATGCTGATTAGCAAGGATGATATTGCAACTAAGCACTTTCACTTAACAAATAATCAACTAAATGTGAAATGTGTTTTTTTGGCATTTAAAAATTCCTACTCAATCCCAGATTTCTTCCTAATTACAAATTAGTTTTAGTTGGTTTTTTAACAAAGACCGGGAACAATGTACAAAGAAAAAAATCTGACATCTGAACTTTTAAAAGGTTATTCGGGTACACACACACATTTACACAAAATTGCAGGGATTTACAGAACCCCTAAAGCCCATCCAAGGACCCTGTAAAGTCTACTGGCTACTCCAACTCTACTTACTCTTAACATATATAGAAAGGTAGATAGATCATTTTATCAGTTTCACAAGTTATCTACATGTGCTTTTAATTATGACTACATGTTACATAGAGCAAGAAAATTACTCTCATTGGTGCTGGATATTAACAAAGAATAGGGTTCTGAATCTTCTTTGATATGTAGGTGTGCTATCCTGAGAAGTATCTAACAGTTCAGGGGTCAAGTCGTCACTTTGCCAGTGATCTAAACTATGTGATACTGAACATGTTACTTAATCTAAGTCTCAGTTTTCTCATCTGTAGCAACGAGAGTACACCTCTGTTTTACAGAACTATTAAGAGGAATAACTGAGATAACAAATATGCAAAGGATAACAAATATGCAAGGATGGTGGCAGGCACATAGCAGGAACACAATAAAAATAGTAGCTCTTAAAAGGAAAAAGGGAAGCACAATCAGCTGGTTGTTGTTGTTGTTGTTGTGTGCCATCGAGTCGGTCCCGACTCATAACGACCCCTCCTTGGGTTTCTGAGGCAGCTGGAGACCTGTAAAATCTAATTTGGCTGAACTTCTGAGTAGATGGTCATTATAGGTTCCCCTAACAGACAGGGGAAGCCAGCACCTAGCTCTTAGTTATAGCAATAGACGGGCAAAAATACAAGACAAGGTATAGAAGAAAGAGAAACAGATTTGTAATGACATGGTCCGGGTCAAGAAGAGTGTATTTACTCATAGTTATATATCTTCTAAAGTCAATAAAGCTTTCAGAAGATAAAACTGCATAGGAGAATATCTTCTCAACCTCAGGGTAGGAAAAGATTCTCAAAGCAAGACACAAAAAGCACTAACTATAAAGAAAAGACTAATAAATTGACTCCATTAAAATTAAGAACTGTTCATTAAAAGACACCACAAAGAGTGAAAAGTCAAGCCACAGAATAGAAGAAGGCATTTGAAACATACACACATGACAAAGGACAAGTATTCAGAGTAAATAAGAACTTCTAAGCAGCAATAAAAGGAGCTCTGGTAGCACAGTGCCTAAGGCATCTGACTGCTATCCATAAGGTTGGTGGTTCAGACCCACCACCCACTCTGTAAAAAAAAGACTGGTCAATCTACTTTCATAAAGATTTACCGCCTCAGAAACCCAATGTGGGTCGTTAGACTCAGAATCAACTCGATGGCAGTGGATTTGGTTTGGTTTGGTTTGGTTTTAAACAGCAGTAAAAGACACACAGCCCAATCTCAAAAGACACACAGCCCAATCTCAAAAGAGAGTTGGAGTTGGTAAAAGACTTGAACAGGAATTACACAAATAGGGAATTCCAAATGGCCAATAAATATATGAAAAACTCTTCAATCTGATTGCTAATCAGGTAAGTGAAAAATATTCCAGATTGGCTAAAATTTAAAAAGCTAACAAGAGTAGAGTTGGAGAGGGTAAGAAGCAATGTTGTTGTTGTGTACCGTCGAGTCACACCTGACTCATAGTGACCCCTCCTTGGGTTTCCGAGGCAGTATCACTACGGAAGTAGGATTGCCCAACCTTCCTTCCGAGGAGTGGCTGGTGGGTTTGAACCGCCAGCCTTCTGGTTAGCAGTCAAGTGCCTTAGCCACTATGCTACCAGAGCTCCAATAGGACCTCTCATATCACTATAGGGAGTGCAACCTGATTCAATGCATTAAAAAACTGCTTGACTGGTACCTAGCTAAATTAAAGATAACCATATCCTATGACTAGGGCAACCACACAACTTATCATCTAAACCAAACACTTTTGAAAATTAAAGGTGGTATATTAACAATTAAACTGAGATAATAGGCATAAACCAGGATAAATAATTACCCTGCCTATGAACCAACAATTCCATTCCTAGGGTACACATTAGAGAAATTTGTGCATGTGTGCGCCAGATGATCCTGTATAGGAATGCTCATAGCAGCTCTGTTCACAATTGCTCCAAACTGGAAGCAACTCAATTATACAGCAACAGTGAATTGGATGATACAAAATTCTAGTATATTCACTTTCTTGGGTCTATCAGTAAACACCTATCAAAAGATTGTGGAAGTCCTATAAAAAAAGGGTTATATACACATTTCTGGAACTGCAGGACGAGCCCTAGTAGCACAATGGTTAAATGCTTGACTGGTAACCAAAGGTCAGCAGTTAAAACCCACCAGCCACTCCACAGGAGAAAGATGTGGCTATGTGCTTCCATAAAGATTTACAGCCTTGGAAACCTTAGGGAGTAGTCCTACTCTGTCACTACCCTGTCTACAGGGTTGCTATTGAGCTGGAATCCACTGGACAACAGTAGATGGGTGATGGGGTGGAAATGCAAATTAAGGTATTATAAAAACCAAAACCAAACTCACTGCCATAGAATTGGATCCAACTCATAGCAACCCCTCCTTGGGCTCCCGAAGCAGTATCATTATGAAAGTAGATTGCCCAACCTTCCTTCAGAAGAGTGGCTGGAGGGTTTGAACGCCAGCCTTCTGGAATAAATATTCCTTCATCCAACTTCTCTCATCCACTCCTCCATTTTGTAAGCAAAGACTGATCACTATAGCTCACACATCCTTATCTACCTTCAAAAACCAACTTCATTTTCTCACTTTGTACAAACACAGTTATGTGTATGCACATAGAAAAATGAAGGCTATGTTGCACAGAACTACTTCAGAGACTGAAAAGGTGCCCGTTAAGAGTAGCATTTAGTAGAGACAGGCTAGCTAGTTAGGTCTTCTGGTATGTCGAAGTCCATGGAAGTTTCTGAAGCACACTAAAATTATCAAGCTTCCTCAACCACCTTCCAATACTCAGTATCACATCGCATGTTATGCCTTATATTTGACAGTTTCCACCTTTGCCTCACAAATATTATATGAACTAAAATAAACATATGGTACAATGGCAATAACATCCACTCTGCTTAGAGGCCTGAGTGTGGCTTGTTGGCAAAATTGCTATTGATCATGTCATCCTCTGCAATCACAATGTCTTAGGGTTGTTGTTGTTGTTATGTGCCGTCGTGTCAGACCCAACTCATAGCGACCCCTCCTTGGGTTTCTGAGGCAGTATCACTATGGAAGTAGATTACCCCATCTTCCTTCCAAGAAATGGCTGGTGGGTTTGAACTTCCAGCCTCTGGCTGGCAGTTAAGTGCCTAAGGCACTATGCTACCAGAGCTCCTCCTTTAATGTTAAAACTTCCTCCCTCCCCCCCCCCTTTTCTTCTCCTGTCCATCATTCACCTTCTAACCTTCAACCCTGAGGAAAAAGTGTCCGGTAAGAACCTTATCCTTTCTGAACCATACAAAATTATCCTTTCCTTCTTAAAAACGTAAAAGTACTGTCCCAATTCATTTTGATACACATTACGAACTTCTGAATAAGGAAAAAATGGCGTGTTTTTCATTGTTCTACATCTTACTTCGGTGAGTAGCAACCGGGATCTTAAAAACTCACAAGCAGCCATCTGCATGGAACGATGGGTCTCTCCTTGTACAGAGCAAAGAAGAATGAAGAAAAGCAAAGATGCATGGAAACAATTAGTCTAAGGGAGTGGTAGACCATGAGACCAGAAGAACTAGATTGTGTCTGGCTACCACTGTCAACCACTCAGAGGGGGATCGGTGCAGGAGATCCTGGACAGAGCAGGAGAACAATGTAAAACAAAACATAAAATTATATTTAAAAAAAA